AATTTTAAAAAGAAATTTAAACTTATTTTAATAAGTAACTTTAATTAAAAAATTGAATATAATGATAATATTTAAAATAATTAATCTTTATAACTAATAATTTTTTTAAAATTAATCAAGACCAATTAAGACCAATTAAAACTTTTACCAACCCTCAGAAAAGGCTACAGGTTCTGGTTGTTTTTCTTTGAGGTCATAACAGAACTTATTTTTTGGGACAGTTTGTTTTCCAGTTCGTTTGTTACTCATTGTATCAGTTTGAAAATTTATGTAAAACTCTTTCGAAAATAAAGGTGTTATAAAAGTGAAGAATAAAACTAATTAACAGAGTTATAAAATATTAAAGTAAATAGGATGAAAAAATTTTTTGTTTCCAAAAAATTTTGGGAGAGAGAAAGAAAGAGTTTTTTTTTTATATATAAATATATATTTTTTTTCGATGTGGCACTACTAATAACTTTATTAAATTTATACAAAATACAAAAAAATAAATCTTAAAAATCTATATATAAGTACTAGCTATCCCGCGTGATTATATTACAAACCCGTTTGAATTGACCTATCATCATCTTTCCTTTCCAACAGACCCACTAAATACATATCTAATGACTACTGTTATCATAAAGAAAAAAAAAAAAGAAAGTCAGTGCCTATCTAAATAATTTGAAAATTTGTTACCATACTTGATCAAAAGGTGTATCCAAGTTTCCCACATGTTAGGAACTTGTTGGTTATTAATGTGACCTAGAGATTTACTGACACCGCGTAAATGTTTGTTTTTTGAAGATATATCCAAATATTTTTTTTGGCAATCATAAGATTGCAATGAGGTTTCCAGACGTCTTCATACATTTTTTAAAAAAAGAACAAAAAGAGTTGTGTAATGATCTTGATGGCTTTGTTTCTACTTTGTGTAACTTTATGAATGACAGATACAAAAGAGGTTGGGATTAAAGCTTTCATAATATGAATGATACCAGTGTCTGAAGAAATACTGAATGCTTAAGAGAAAATGGAATCAATTTTGATGATCAAAGAGGAATCTAAAGAATGTACTTCGATAAGTTCATCTAAAAATTTTCTTGTTAGAAAAATAATTGTGGTGACTCTTGATTCGTAGGTTGGACATTGCCATAAATGTGAAGTAGTTTCAGTATAAACCTTGCAGCTGACACATTTTTAATCTTTATATAGGTCAGGAAGAAGCTGAACTATTTTAGCTGTGATAGGAAGTTCATCCAATAAATTTTTGAAAATAAAGGTCTTTAATCTGGTAGAGGTAGATGATTTGATTAGTGACGAGGAATTTAATGAAAGAAATTTCCATGTAGCGATCCAATCGATAGATGAGCTGAGAGTCAAGAGTCTAATTGATTTATTATGAGAAAGCGTAAGGAAAGCACCGAAAATGTTGGCAGAGAAGAAGTCCTTGAAAACCTTTTAAATAGATGACTCTATAGGAATATTATTGAATAGTAGAACAAGGTTTCTCGAGCTAATACCAGTAATGTTAGGAGAGATCAGAGGTAAGTGTCTTCCATTTTTGGCTAATGTATCAGCCTGATCATTTAGGATATCTCCAGTATGTAATTTGACTTTAAAGAGGTTAATATAGAGGTTAAGCGTATTGTGTACATACTGAACAAGATTCCAAATAGTATAATTGGGAATCTGTTCCATTTTTCTGTTGGAGAGTCTGGAATCAATTACATAAGACTGAAAACTATGGATAAGGGCAAGACTGTCTGTGTATATATTTAAAGTATCTGATTGAGAAGCGACAAGTATGGCAGTGAGAAAAGCATAAATCTCAGCTCTAGTTGATAATGACCAATTTGATAAAAAAGCAGAAAAGTTGTGGTAGTGAACATTACTGTCTATACAAATCCAACCAAAATCCATTTTGCAGTTTTCTGAATGAGCACTGTCTAGTGAACCATTAGTATAGAAAACCAAGGGACTGGCATTAATAATTGCAGATTGAATGGATTTGAGTTGAGTTGAGTATAAAGATTATGGAAGAACAAAATCAATGATATTATTATGGAGCGAACGTGATGTAGGTAGAGGAGGAGTAGAATTATTATAATATAAAAACGCATCACGGAAAATTTCATCAGGGGAATCTCTGAGATGATTTTTGACAGTGATTCTCTTCTCTTTTTTGAAATGAATTTTGAAGGTTTTGTTAGCATCGATGGTGAAGGTACATGTTTTTTAAGATTATCTGTAGGAAAAATTGCACATCCTAAACAAGTATCTAAGTAGTGGATATCCTCATTATTGGTAATACAAATAAAATGTTGACAAGTAAACCGTGCAGTATCTGAACGATTACTGATAATGATGGCATAAATAACAGATTGTAGTAAGGGATCCCAGTAGGCCACTGACTTTCTAGAATGGGGATTGTCATTAATTGAAAAAGGTAGGTCAAAATCAATAAGAGAATTATAAATAGGAAGGGGAATATCTAGTCTATATTCTAATTTAAATAATCTAGTACATTTGTCTTCAAGAACTATATATATATATATAAATTTTTTTTTTTTGATACTTTTACTAGGCACGCACTAATGGTAAATATTTAGATGTATACCCTTCAACAGAATGATACGTTTTACAACACGTTAAGTCCACTATAAACCCCTTTGCTATATTTCAAACCAGTTTGAATTGGCGTTAAACCTAGATGAATGAGTATCAATATCTGAGTAGACTGCCAAACTAATTAACCCGCAGGGTAGAGAGATATGGTACCCGACCATCATTCATATTCATCACAACTACTGGAAAGAGGGTCAAGAATAACCTAAAATGATAGCCTATACCATAGTTGCCTTGTCATACGTCAAAATCACTCCAAGAATCGAACCCAGGCCTCCAAACCCAAATTGTGATATAGACACCACGATGATTGAAGACAGTGCAATATCAACCACCTATAACCCACGACTTTTGTTCAATCCAAGTTATACAGTACCTACCATTGACCTACCCTTACAGGTACCCTTTGCAGATAATGCGGCACTTGTCCATTACAGACCAGCCCCTTAACATAGGTTCCAAACTCAATTGGTTCACTATACATGTACATCAAGTTACTTACCACCATTACCTGTTATCAGAGTGGTGTGTAGACGAAGCGATCTTACATAACTTATGCCGTAAAAGCTACTATCCTTTATGTAAACAACTATCAATTGGTCACCATATTCTATAAATTCATGATCTTCAACGTATATAATTTGTACGTATCCTATAAAATTCATTCCCAGAATCTAAATTATTACGATCTAACCTGGCCAGGGGCTGAACTAGGGTCTATTGTAGTATAACCTATAATAGGTCTCAGTTGTTACCAACTGAGATAGGGCGGCGAGACCCTTATATATATAAATATAGTTAGACGCATTTTTATATAATATCATGATGATCTTCTTTACCAATTTTTCGCTGATCTACTGATGAATTTTAGCTTGTTAAAATCCAACACTGAGGAGAATCTGAATACAGTATCAGTTTTTGAGTAGTAGGTCTACTGAAAAATGTTTTCTATACTTACATTTCATTAAGTAAGAATTTTTAATATAGTTTGCTAAATTGCGCAAAATTGGTCTTAATAATCATACTTCAAATTTTTAATGAATATTAGCTAGGTTTTGAGGTTTAAAACAAATATAAAACTATATTTCTAGCATTCATGGTTGGTGAATTATAAGCTTTTAAAGGCAAGCAACTTCTTTTATAAGCCATTGTATATTTTATTTTTTTAATTTTAAAAATTTTAATTATATTATATAAAAAAAATCAAAACCATATACACTAACCTACATTAAATTACTGGATTTATAATTACGTGATTTATCGCGTCTGTAATAAATTTGCAATTTCTCCCTAATGTACATAAAAATAATAAAAAAAATAATACATACATATTCTTTATCTTCTTCAAAATAGAAATGTGTGAAAACGAGCTGTCTGAAACTCAACATGAAAGAATTATCAGTGCATATCTGAGTGGTACTAAGCAAATGATTATTTTAACTCAGCTTGGTATTTTCATTAGCACTGTCAAAGATACTATAAAAAGATACAAAGAAACAGGTTTTGCAATACCTGAGAAGCATCCTGGTCATCCTAAAATACTTAATCAACGTGATAAACAGACCCTACAACGTATTGTTCAAAATAATCATTTTGCTTCTCTTAGTGATATAACAAGCAGATTAAACTCTAGTCTTGATACCACATTACATAATAATACTGTTAGAAATACCTTCATGATGAAGGCCTTGGTAGTTATGTCGCTCGTAAAAAACCCCTTTTAACCCAAAAATAGCAAAATGATAGATTAAAATGGAGTAGAGAGAAACGAAACTGAGGTGATGAATGGAAAAAGATAATATGGTCTGATAAGTCCAGATTTGCTTTTTTGAATCAGATGAAAGAATAAGAACTTGGAGAAGTCCTGGAGAAGCTTATAATAAAAATTGTATCTTACCTACAGTTAAATTTAGTGGTGGTTCAGTGATGTTTTGGGATTATTTTGGTTGATATAGAGTTGGACCTTTGGTTATAGTAGAAGAAAGTATAGATTCTGACGCATATATCAATATTCTTGTTAACCACTTCATACCATGGGTTAGTAACTATTCTAACTCTATTTTTCAGCAAGACGGAGCTCCATATCATACATCAAATTATAGCATTTGGTGGATAAAAATTAGTGTTCCACAAAAAATCTGATTCAATTCAAATCTGATCTGGATCCAACAGATCGGATCAAATCGGATTTATCGGATTCGAATCGGATTCGAATCTAGATTTTGATTTGATTTGATTCATCAGATCCAGATCAGATTTGGATTTGGATTTGATTCAATATGACAGATTTGGATTTGGATTCAGATTTGATCTATCAGATTCGGATTTGGATTCAGATTCGATTTGTTAGATTTGTAATAAAAAATGCCGCCCCAAAGTCAAACGTGATATTTATTATTAAAAAAATTTAATTTTTAATAATAAAATGCTACCCAAAAGTCAAACGTGGCATTTATTATTAAAAAAATTTAATTTTTAATAATAAAATGCCACCCAAAAGTCAGACGTGACATTTATTATTAAAAAAATTTAATTTTTAATAATAAAATACCGCCTGAAAGTCGGACGCAGCATTAATTATAAAAAAAATTAATTTTAATAATAAAGTACCACCCCAAAAGTCGGACGCGGCATTTATTAATAAAAATTAATTTTTATTAATTTTTTATGTAAAAATGCCGCCTGAAAGACGGATGCGACATTTATTAATAAAAAATTTAATTTTTATTAATTTTTTATATTAAAATACTGTTCTGAAAGTCAGATGCGGCATTTATTAATTTTTTATGTAAAAATGCCGCCTGAAAGATGGATGCGGTATTTATTAATAAAATTTAATTTTTATTAATTTTTTTATATTAACATGCCACCCCGAAAGTTAGACATAGCATTTATTAATAAAAAAATTAATTTTTATTAATTTTTTATATAAAAATACCACCCTAAAAGTCAAATACAACATTTATTAATAAAAAAATTAATTATTATTAATTATTTATATAAAAATGCTGTGTCCGATTTTTAGAACGGCATTTATTATTAAATAAATTAATGTTTAATAAAAAAAATCCACCCTGAAAGTCAGACGCGGCATTTATTAATAAAAAAATTAATTTTTATTAATTTTTTATATAAAAATGTCACCCCAAAAGTCAGATACATAGGGTTGGTAAAAGTTCTAATAAGTCCTAATTGGTCTTAAAGAATTTAAGGATAATTTTTAATTTATATAGTATTAATTAAATTTTTTGATAATAAATTAATCTTTTTAATAATTATTATATATTAA